TTATACCGTGCTGGCAATTGTTACTTTTGGGTCGGCATTTACATGTGTGGAAGTAAATCGCATAGGGATCTTATTAAGTTGGAGTGAGAGAAATGCGACCGACCGACGGGACGCGCGACGGTGTGCTGTTGCGGCGTTGCCGATACGCCTTTCCCTATCAAGTAAAGTAAAATCACGATCGCAAACCGCTTATTTTTAAAAAACTTTTTTTTTAAGAGATAACTAGATAAAATCCTTAGACATCTTTCTGAGCATCTGAAATGGAATTATAAGGATATCGTTAGGGTGTCATTTTTTTTATAACGAGAAAACGTCAGTAATCGCGATAATTTAAAACTCAACTTTTTAACACATAACAGGCCATAACTCAAGAACCACTTTAGATATTGAAACTTTTTTTTATTTTCAAGATCGAATATTTTACAATATGTTTACATAAGAAAAATTCAATAAGGTTGTTTTTTCCATTCAAAAATTGTAAACAATCCATCCATTTACTTTTAGAGCATAGCAATTTTCAGCAATCGTGTAATTTTTTTATTGATAAAGATTTTCACATACTGTCTACAAAGAAAATACAACAGAAATATTAACAAAGTTCTTTGAAAAACTACAATCTATTATTTCTAATAGATTTCGAGATATCGATTTTTTAATTCAGAGTTCTAATAGCGCGACCACTATCGAACACCCACTCAATTCCACTTATTTTTATCCAAAAAGCAAGGGTTTCAGCTTGCACTTAAAAAAATTCAAGCTCTAGGAAAAATTACAACGACTCGTTAATAAATAAACAAATTAAGTATCACGAGACGTGATTAAATCGTGAAGCTAACCGCATGACGTACACCTTTCCCTAAAAGTACTGACAGAGGTATTGATTGGGTCGACCGGTCAACTGCGACAAATCTGCTATATCCCCTTCCATGTCTCTTAGCGATGTGCATAGTTTCTCGGTTTAGTTCATACGTTTGGCAACATGTTTACTGTCTTCTCTTTGTTCAGTACATTATAAACGCATTGTAAAGTCTGTCCAACGAGAAGATCCTTGACAGTGATAGATGTGTCTGTCATTTTAATTTCAATGTAGTTTATTTTATTTTACAAAGAAATAAGTTGGTACAACTGGAACGCATAGCAGGAAATTAATATATGTATTTAAAATTTGACTGACAAGTAACTTCAAAATCTTTGAATAAGAAGACTAAGGAAGGAGCATATCAAAAATCTTAGGTACACCGCGATGGGCCTCAAATATGGCCGACTTAAATTCCGGTTTATCAGTGTCGTTCTAATTTTATTTAAAAAATGTAAAATTATGATGTAGGGTAGACGTGGGGTAGACTCAATAATTTGTTGTTTTATTTTACGTTGTGAATAAATGTTGGTAGTTATTAAAATTGTTATAAAAATATATAATTTTAATAAAAATAGATAAGTTATAATAAGTATTTATTAACACAAACATCCGATACGCTACTGAAGCAGGTAAGTCAAATTAACGTATCTAAATTCTTTGACATCTAATCTTTGACAAGTAATAAATAAAAGCTAAAATGCAAGAAAAATATATAATTTAGTTAATTTAAGTGAATTTCATAAATGATCGGTTTACTACACGTATGTATATTATATAATCACTTACTAGCGAAAAGTTGTTCCATTATTTCACTCCATTTTTGCCGAGATCTACCGCACGCTACACCAAACCAAACCAAACCAACTATTTTAGAGTCTTTTTCGATAAATCGCGATAGTGTCACTGTTAATTTAAGTTCTGCCACAATTTCCATCTAGATTTACTACCTTTATACAACTATCAGTAGTAGAATAAATAATAAATAACATAAAATAAGCTCCGTAAAGACTGACAAATCCACAAAATTTCAAATCAAATTCAAATGTGTCAAATGAATCGTCAAACAGAACTGTCAAGGATCCCCACCCGACAGTGTTTTTTCCGCCCACCATGCATGAATACATGGATAGCATTATGCTCCTTCCTTAGTCTTCTTATTCAAAGTTCAAAATATTGTGAAAAAAACTGTATAAAACTGAAAAAATGTTATCGAGTTATTTTATTTAATAAAAAACGGTATGTGTTAATACAAAACAAACAAAAACAAGACACACATATATATATATATATATATATATATATATATATATATATATATATATATATATATATATATATATATATATATATATATATATATATAAAAGAACTATTTCTTACTTTCACGCTTTATGAAACTTCCCGCATTTATGATTATATTTATCAATATAACTTATGTACAAATACAAATTTGTAATATTCCGCAGGAATAAATAAAACAACATAAATAAAACAAACTATTTTATTAATAATAACACTTACCAAATTTTATACCTTACAGGTTGATTAATTAACATTAATCTTAATTTTTTTTAAACCAGTACCTTTTGACATTATTTTTCTGCAGTACTAAAATCCATTATTTACCTATCGTGTTATGTCGATATTTTACAGCTACTCAAGTTTTTAGTATGTGTTTAGTATGGTCTTTCTACCATATTCGAGATGCACTTATCTACGACGAGATGGTATACAAACTTTATTGATGGTAACTTTATTGGTGTATCTGTATAAGACTTTCTGCCTGGGCAGCGAGTATTAACCATAAACTGTGCTCTGGGTTCTACAGTTAATTTTCACTCGATTTTTCCTCGACTTGACTTCAAAAGACACAAAACACACGTAATAACACGAATCAAAATGCATCATCTTCCAAAACGCAGGGTATTTGACAAAAGTTGTCACAAAATTATAACCTATAATTTGGCAAGACTTTGACAAACGTCAAAAATCTAAAGGCGAGTTCATACGCATCGGCGTCCGTTTGTCGTTCATCGTTCCGTCAAACCAATAAAATTGAAATACGATCTGTCATTTTTGAAATAAACCAATAAAACTGGTTAAAAACAACAAATGACGACGCATGACGAATTTATATTTAAACCCATCCATAGTTAACTTAAAAATTATTAGAAACTTTTTTTAGTAAAATAAATAGATTGGTATGGGACGTCATCTGCTTTTCTTCTGTCATCATCTGTCGAAATCTTACCTGAGAAAAAAAACCGAGTATACTCTTCTTACATACGGAAATCTCGACACAAAACTAACCTTTGCCAACCCTTAGTATATTGTTGGCCCTAGATATCCCTGCTAATTTCTTAATACCCTGGTCCCATCTCCTGTTTGGTTTTCTTCTAGGTGTTTTAATTCCTCGTGGATATCATGCTGTAGTTTTTGTGGTCCATCCCTTGTCCGTCCTTTTTACCAGATGTCCTGCTCATTGAAACCTAAAGGATTTTATTATCTGGATGACATATATTACCTGGGTCTTTTGTCGTATCCAATCTGTTTTTTACTGTCTTTCTTGGATTTTTCCAGCATATTTCGTCCCATCGATCGTTGTGTCACATACATTCTTCATAATGCATATGTATTTACTATACAGGGTGAATTTTAAATAAGTGCACATATTTTTAAGGCTGGTAGGTCTCGATAAAAGAAACATATTTTCTCTTTGCCGTTTTTCGAATGGGTTCATAATATGACTTATTTTGCTTTGAAAAATAAAAAAAGATTAAATTTTGAGAACCACCGAACTGTTTCTGTGTTTTTGTTCCTCTAAATTTAATCAACTACCATGTTGCCATATTATCAAGATATTATATTTTTTAACTGAAAATTAAAAAAATTTCAAAAATTTTTCATAAATTTTCAAAACTTTTTTTTCGCAAAAAACCTCATCGACGTGTGTGTTAAAAAATAGGCACAGTGCGTTTTTCTACAATTATTAGTAATGCCACTAGTATAATTAAAGTATTTTCGTAATTTATTGTGTAGAAAAATAAAATTACTGTGAACTTATACACACAAATTTTTACAAATTACATACAAATACCGGGTGGGTCTCAAAAGTGGCTCACTCGTATAACTTTATTATTTTTTCAGTTAAAAAAAACAGAGATTTGTTATGTTAGTATATATGACATAAATTAGGATTGATTGACGTATTCAATTGTTTTTGGTCACTTCCTGTTTCACCGGAAATGAATACAAATTTTGATTTTTAAATGACACCCCGGTTTATTTTTACTTTTTTCGAGAGAAAATGACACTCTGAATAGAATGACATATCATATGTTAATTTTTGACATTTTCGCATATATTATTTATTTGAAATTGTAACATACGGTTCATAATGACAATTTTACTCGAAATATCAAGTGTGTGGTACCAAATTATTCGTAAAAAAATGCTTTTTCCAAATATGCTAATGAGCCACCATTGTTCCATTTGAAAAAATTGAGATATGATTAAAAATACGATTTGGACATCTTATAACTGGCCCTGACAAGTCACGAAAAACATCAGGCGAACAAATCTACTTTTCCTTGATTAAAAAGTAATGTTTTTAACACATCCATGGCACCCTAGATTGGAATTTAAAATATATTTTTTTTAAGCAGAAATGTCAAAAGTTGGCATATGATATGTCATTCTATTCAGAATGTCATTTTCTATCGAATAAAGTAAAAATATACCGGGGATGCCGTTTAAAAATCAAAATTTGTAAATTGGGAAGTAACAAAACCAAATCTCTTTTAGTAACATACCAAATCTCGTTTTTTTTATCTAAAAAAATAACAAAGTTATAGGGGCGAGCCACTTTTGAGACGCACCCGGTATACAGAATGTGGGCAACCAAAACTTTAACTTTAATAACAGCGTCAAAAAATATAAGAGATTAAATCTGCGTTTAATACTAAGAAACTACGTTAAATCAAAAGTTTGAAACCAGAAATTCGCAGAAAATATCAAAAACAATGTTTTTTTTTCATAAAACCTTCATATGTCAAAGCACTTATGCTAAAGAGACACCATGTAATATAATTATTCTTATCAACCACTAGTAAAATTAATGATTTTTATTTTTTGTTTTCAGTGGATTCAGTGTGGTGGCTCCCGAACTAGCTGTCCCAGGAAAAACAACTGCCGTTTTTGTGACTTTCAACAACCCTTCTGTACCCAAACAACCCTTAAATGTCACACTCCGATTGCTGGGTAACTCCCAAGGGAGTTACGAGAACACAAACCCTCCAATGGTCGAAGTAACTGAAGAAATCAAAGGTAACCATACAGCCTGTTATAGATGTACGGTTCTTTTTCATCTTCAACATTCTTTACAAGTTGAAAATATGAATAATCTGTATTTTTGCCTTTTTGAATAATTGTTATTCACTGGTTGCTAGAATGCCAAATTATAAAATATTGATTTTAGTTTTATTAGTACATCCAGGGTGCCTTAAAATTAAGTGCAAGTATTTTATCTTGTAGTATCTTAGTAGTTCGACCCCAGAAACACGCCCATGAGATTTTTTATGAAAAAAAAATGATGAAATTTTTATATTTTAAAGTTATAAGTTTACATTTTTAAATACTTAAATTATTTTTTCTATTCACTGAATATTTTTTAATCATTGTAGATTACTATCAAGTATAGTGCAACGTTTACTATATTTTAAATACTTTTTTTATTCTGTTTTTTACAGTTTAGTAAACTGAAATAATAAAACTAAATCATGAACAATTATAGCAGTTCTTCGACAGTTCAAAATCAGCGCCCTCTATTAGATATGTAAATAGTCAGCGCTACTAATAGTTGACCTCCATTTAAACAGGTCAGCTGATAGCATTTTTACGTTATCTATTTTATTTGAGACTTTACTCAAAACAGTAAATCTCTGATAAAACAAAAAAAAGGGTAAAGCCTGTAAAAATATTTTATTACTACAAAAAATATATCAATTATTTTGGTGTATATTTACGAAACAAGAGTGTGAGGGAACAAAAACAGAGGAGTTTAGATTCTCAAGAAATAATCCTAAATAATTTAGATGGCATATGAATGTATTTTGTGCCAAATACACATGTAAGACCGTAAAAAAATAGAGCGGATACGGCAAAAAACCCAAGTATAGATGTCATTCACAGAACCAAATCACTCAAGTGGCAAAAAGCAAGACACCTAGACGCCCAACAAATGGACCATAAAAATTACAGCATGGTACCCACCAGGAATTAAGAGACCTAGAAGAAGACCAAACCAAAACTGGGACCATGATATTAGGAAATTAGCAGGGATAACTTGGACCCGCATAGCCAACAATGCACAACAATGGGTCCATTTACCTGAAGATTATCTAAATGTGTAAGGGAGGCTACACCATAATTAGAAATGGTTGAATAAGCTGGAAATGATGATAAGGATAATGATATTTTTGTCTATTGATTTATAGTATTTAGTTGTTTCTGTATTCAATAAGTCTTTATTAATATTATTTTAATATTAGTAACTGACCAGAACTTAGAGAAGAAACTTTTACTCATCTTTAACCTTCATAACTACGAATATTCTTTAATATTCGTAGTTATAACTAATAAACTAATAAATAATTAAAACTTAATTTAATTTTTATTCATGATCTGTTATTTTCATAATACGTAAATTTGTGATGCACGTTCTCTAAAAAAAATATTTGAAGTTGCATAACCTCAGAAAAAACTTGTTCCTAACTAAGGCTAGCCACCATAAAGGACTCCTTTTGGGCTATCAAATCATCGTCAATCTAGTAAGTACTTCAAACTAAATGAGACTAAAAACTAAAAACCTCATACTATATTAATATATTGTCTAGAGAAGCTGCAGAAATAATTGAAACAACTTTACTAATAAAATAATTTATTTTAAAAACGGATTGATGTGTACGCCTCTGTCTGATCGACTACGCATTTTCCCATCCATCCGGGAATCACGTTCTTGTTTAACAAGTAAGGGTAAGGGAAAGTACATGCGAAAGGGACTTAGAATAAAGGAAGGGATAAAGGTGTTAGGACTGTTTGTCAGCAGGATAGAGCACAGGTTTCTGAATCAATTACATTGGGGGAAAACATAGTTTAGTCTAGTAAAAGGTCGAAGGGTAGAATAAGGTTTTCTCTTGTTTATTTAAATTGTTTTGTGGTTTACTTGAAACACATATAATTTTTTTAATTTACAAGGGTTTTTTAAATATTAGTTGTAATATCCATAATACATTATTTTAGAAATATTTCTTCTAACTGTGATAAAAAATAGAATCCAACGTTCAAGCACAAATTTTAGAACGGATTAAGGATTAAGCATTTTAGAACTTGCAAAAATTTTTATGTATGCCCTTTTCTTCTAAATGTCAATAATAAAAAAGTTTTTCCTCTTTTAAAGACAATCCAGGTAGGTACATACTGAATATCCAAATTTAAAAACAAATCGTGAAAAAATCTCATAATCGTGTACCTGGGATCGAAATACAGGGTGCTACAAATTTGAGGTACGAGCATTGCTATCTCGGTAACCGTAATAGATATGAACATGGTTAAATTGGGGCAACGTTGTGCTTTAGGATGTTCACTATGATTCAATCAAAAAAGTTTTAAAAATTTCAAGAATAGCTTAGTTTTTTGGAAAAAAAAGGGATTTTTTTGAAAATGAATTTTATTTTTTCCTGTCGTCAATTTTTAGAAAATCAAAAAACTAATTGCACATTCTCATAGCCACTTTATTAGGGCTATCTGACAGTATTTTTAGATTTTTAAATAAGCTGATAATTTGTCAGATACAGAGGCCAACTTACGTGGGGTAAAGTGGGGTAAAACATTGAATATGGAATCAAATGCAATAAAATAATATAAAAAATAATATAAATCTAATATAATATATACAATTAAATAATTTTCCCGGAAGATGAATTGGAAATGGTAGAGCAGTGTATTACTTGACGTCATTTGTAAAAGTGAAACCAGAACATCTCAACATTTACACTAAAGAGTACAAAATGCATTCGGAAGTATAAGAAGATCTGTACATGGAATTTGTAGCACCCTGTATACTACCCCTGAAAATATTTGCATTTATTTACGACACACCCTGTATAATGTACACCCTATATAATTATAGCTATAATTTTTGTAAAAAAGTATTACCTTTGTCCTGACATTGACGACGTCACTTAAGGCGACAATTAAATTGTCGACATGTTATTCTGGACGTCGGTCGCCCAACTCTGCTACTTTATACAGTATACATCAAAAGTTTGCCCCCGATATGATCGTAAGTGGTTAATAAACTAGAAGTGATTAATTTTATCTCAAAAAACTCTTAGAAAGAAATTGAAGGGCTAAAAACCAGGGAGTAGGTAATTAAACAAGTAATGTTTAGCCTCTTTGCGTTTAATTGGAGTTTGGACTTTTGATTTAACGTGAATATTAAATACAAACGGTTGTTGTAATGGGGGCGTTTGGTTGGAGATGAAAGCACTAAATGGGGCGAGAAATTTGGAAAGTTTTTTTTGTAAACGACCGAGTTTCTGTTTGGAACGATGTTACGTTAAACAGAATGGAGTTAAGAGTTTTTTGCTTAAATATCGTTAACATTTAAAAATTGCTGTTTGAAAAAATCTTAGATCTTATAAACTTCGTGGATAAAGCTATGCCATATGTATGTTACACACGCCTTTGTTTACGGGACTTTCACATGCATTTTTCTATTTATTTCTTTCTAGAAAGGCAAGATTATCGTATAAGCCTATCCTTCTTTCTGAACACGCTACTGAGCATGCGCAGAACCATATTAGAGGTGAATGCTAACTTAGAGCGTTTTTTCGTTACGTTGACAACATGACAACAATTACTAAAAATATAGAATATTAAAATGTTTTAATCAAGATATAACTGATACGTGTATTTATTATTTTAAAAATATTTGTCATATTATTTCAATATACATTTATATAAATTTTAAACAAAAATTAAATCATTTAACGATAAATTCTTTTTTAAAAATGTTTTAAAATACTAATTTGAAAAATATCTATAATAAATGGGCAACATATAGAATCAGGATCCAGAGAAACATTAAAATATGTTTTAACATATTTTAGTCAAACCATATTTTAATAAAAAAAATCAATTAATGTCACTTTTTGTATACTGTTTGACCCGTGATAATAAAGAGTTCATTTGAATTTCCGACGATATTTTAGGTTTGTCTTCTTTTTGAAAGTTTGTTTTTGTAGTGTGATAAAATTAATAGATAAATAGATATGATGATTAGGAACGCAATAGGAACAATCTAATCCTTAAAAGAACTCCACAACACTAAAAGTATGAAAACCTCTCTCTGAAGTATGTTCCATGTTTTCAAAAAGCAAGATATATGTTATTAAAAAATCGTTTTTTAAACCGACTTTTATTCAGCCAAATAATAAATAAATAAGTTATTTTTTATACAAGACAATAAAATGGTATTTTATCGTTGAACGAAAAGATTCGAGAAAATTTCGGGAGACGATAATGCAATTTTATTGTCGTGTATAAAGCAATATTTTTTCCATAGCGAGTTACGTGTTAAAAAATATTCAGAAATTATTATTTCAAGGAATTTATTGCGAGTAGAAAAAATATTGTGCTGGGTTGGCGTTGATTTCTATGTAATTTGACAAATAAATAAAGCTGTCTCTTTAGTTGTCAGTTTTGAGTCAATATTTTTTAATTCTCTTTCGTGTTGATTGCTGATTGAATTGGAGCCAGAAATGGCTCAAAACAAAATAAGTAAATTACCAACAGATATTCAGGCTGAGGCGACAAACGCCATATCCAAACTGCTTCCGTTTAAATCCCGAATAACTTATGAAAACGAATACAAAAATTTTCAAAAATGGAAGCAATTAAAAAACGTGCGAGAAGAAATAAAGTTTTTAACCTATCCTCGCTGTTAAAGTATCATTTAATCTACACTTACGGTTAAAGTACTATTTTATCTATTATTTTTGATAGATATAAGGCAATTTTAACAGTTGCTATGGAAAACAAATATAAAAACTAAAAAAGGTTTGAAAAAAAATTTCAAAATTTTTTTAAAAAAATTCCACATTTTCATATACTTCATAGTGAAAATATAGTTACATGGAGGTGTTATTCATGAAATATCAATTCTTATCACTGGATTCGAGGTGACTCTCTGTGACTCAGTGTTCACCTTTTCGATAAGTTATAAGATAACCAAGAACCAAGATAAGAAAAATGCAAAATTTTCA